CCTTTAGTCTGAGGGTGCGCCGAGAGCGCGGTGCGCGCTGCGGCCTGTGGAGCGGGCGTTGCCCGTGAGGGCCGGGCCGTGGGCGGCGGGCGGGCGGGCTTGGAGAGCCTCACCCCTTGTCAGGAGGGGGATGAGCGTGCATCAGGGAAGTTTTAAAAACAAATGAGGCTGCAAATTTAATCTTACATCAGCCTTTGGCAGCCTTAAGTACACCAGCCTGTGTGTTTCTTGCAGCGGGGGGACAGTGTGCCAGGAGGAGGTTGTCTGCAGCTTGGAGCTCAGCGCTGTGGGTGCGGAGGCGATTGCCAGCCTCTGGCTGAGGTTGAATTTCCAGCTAGGCACAGGTTACAGTCTGTCCTGAAGTGCCGTGGCTCTCGCTCTCCAACTGCGCTGTGTGTCATTCCAAAGCTGCCTTTATGTCGCGTCTGGCCCCTAGGCTACATCTCTGCTCGCTCCTGCCATGCGATAGCGGTGCCCAGACAGCAAGCCCTAGGGTAATTTGACTGCTGAGTCTGGGCGGTGCGCCATCAGCTCTGCTTATTAAAGAGCTTGACCTAATTCAGATGTGCATATGTGTAATATGCTTGTCGCTTCTGTTCACTGCTTTTATGGCAGGAAAACTAATGGCTGCGGTTCATCTGGCTTGCTTTCTGCCCTAACTCTGTTGGGCCTCTAGGGAAAAGCACCCAGAAGCAGGCCAGGGCCAGGTATCTCTGCCTTCGGTGCAAACGTGAAAGCGGGATGGGGGCTTGACATGTTAACTGTCAAAACTGACAGGTTGTTTGAATTAATTGAGGGGAATGCAGTGTATAAACCCAATTAGAAGGCCTTTGGTAGTTCAATTAATAGATAACAAGCTGGAGAAATTTGATCTTTTCAGCAATTACATACCTGCTTTAACAACTACAAGTAAAAGAGGTCACTTAAAGCATTTACGGGAAAAAAACTAATTGGCAGTGCTAGTTGTACAGCTGAATTACATTACTGGCTTTAGCTTATTGATCATTTTGATTTGATCATTCTCAGGTGGGAATTTCAGCAGTGTTTTGTAGCCTATTTTTGCTGTTACTGAAGTTGTTCTATTGATTATACTTTTATGACAGCATCTGAGAAAGTTGTTTTTTGCTCTGAAGGAACAACAGGGGAAGTTAAATGAGCTACTTCAAGTCATATAAACCCATCTTATTGTGCTTACAGTTATACCAATATCAGGGTTCTTGGTGTATTTCTGTTATGTGGTAATAAGAAACTGAGCTGTAGTGGCTTAACCTTGTATCTTTAAAAATAAGTGTGCTGTTCCGTATTTACATAGGTGAATTAGGTTGGTATGGATTTTTTTTTATTATTATTATTATTATTTTTAAAGACGGCTTGCTGATTAGAAAGTACCAGGAAAAAAATAGCCAGAAACATTCTCTAAATCTGCTTCACACGCACATGATACTACTTGTAATACAAATTAATGAATTTTTAATCGATTTTGCTGGAAAGTATGGCCACCAGAGATAACAGGTCAGGATTTTTTTTTAATAGTCTCAGATCACATGGGGTTATCTTCCAAGGGCTAACCCAATGGCCATGAAGTTAATAGAAGTTTTTCCATTAACCTTCATGGCCCGTGTTTCAGGCAAGCTGTCATTGATTATTTACTTTCTGAGAACTAGAGAAATAATAAATTTTACATATACCATCCTCTTCTATATGGCAAGTATAAGAGCGTATGTTCAACAGTGTATGTCTTGCATAACTGTGCTTCAGGACTTTAATTTACAGTCCAGTAGGCAAAGATATCTGATAGACTGAACCTAGAATCACTTGCCTTGCATACACATGCTTTAGTGAATCCAGTATTTGAGTAATTAAGTGGGGATGAATTTTTTGTAATTAGCCTTTTTTTCCCCTTGGCACTAGTGGGTTGTCAAAGCATCTTGTTTATTTGCAAACTTTGGTGCTAGATAGCCTTTCGAGAGGTGCCAGTAAGAATGAAAGATTTTAGGTGTGTCATTCCATTGCTGCTGTTTTCATAGTTTGAATAGCATTTAGAATTCTCTCATCCTAAATCAAATGAGCTTTTATTGAAACATTACTTTAAGTTCTACATCGGGTGTCATTAAGGACATTGCCAGTGGGGACTCAAGGTCGTTATTTATACCAGTGATATTGTTACTGTTACTAGGTTACTTTCTGAACAAGACTTAAATTATGTGTTGGTCTCTGGGGTAGATTTCTTCCATTTCATATAGTTGTTCCTGAATTTTAGGTCAAATAAAGGTTCGAGTAAATAAGTGTTTGTTTTTTAAGTCAGTACCTTTGTATTTATTCTCCCTGCTCCCTGCACTGACAAGGACGTCTAATTTTTGTTCCGGTTAGCATACAACTTGATGAATCATAGTTCTTGATTCAATCGATTTTCTTTTTTAATTCAATTTAGGGGTTTGGAATAACTAGTACTTGCTTCAGCTGTGCAGGAGTCTGTGTACGTACATATATGTGTATGTAATATATATTTCACTTCAGGTTTTAGAAGAGGTGCAGATCCTGGAATGCCTGAGCCAACTATTTTGAGGTATGTATCGGTTCGTAATGTTCAAGCAAAACTGATGCAGGTAACAACTACCTAAAACTGTGACTAACACTGGACAGCAAAAGTTATGCAGGTTGTCTTTGTTCATTGTTTTTAATTGTTTAGGATGATAGCACACCTGGTCACAGTTCTTGTTTCTTTAGAAATCCAAACTAGATAAAGGCAGCAAGGCAGAAGTTTTTAAGAGGAAAATACTAAAGCCCTCACAATCTTGTGTGGATTCTAGTATTGGTACTTTCTGAGTGGAAGCTGCCCTCTGATCTGTTGTACAGCTATTTAATGCAAGATTCTTTCTGCACCTAGGAATAACTATTTAGCTCTTTAGTGTGAATTTAAAACAAAGCCCAGTCCCCTTTGCAAATATTTTAGTAATGCTGCATAGCAACTGCATGAAATAAAGGAATACAGCTTGAGTAAGATGTTATCAAGGCATTTAATACGCCTCAAGATATATTCTTCATTATTAGTCATTTGTCATCAGGTCAGAAAAGTGCATGTGCACATACTGCCTCTTTCTTGTAGGATTATTTGTTAGTGCTGCAATGTTCTCCTAGTAGTAATACTTGAATTATTGTGATATTGGAGTTTTTTGGAGAGTTTCCATGAGTCAAACTTCCAACATTAAAGTTTTGAGGAAAGCGTGATTCCTTGGTTTTAAAATAACTTTATGACCACTATGCAGAAGCAGGTATTGCTAAACAAATGATTGGTAGTCTGAATTGTTTGCCAAGTCGTATGTTACCTGTTTTAGCCTTTCTCAGTTAAAATGTATAGAAAGCTCATTTTCAGGACTCAGTGATTTAAGGGAACTTTTTTTTTTTAAACAGTAGAAAATATGAGAAAAATGTTTCGAGATCATTTTACAATTTCAGTAAAGTCTCCTTTTGTCTTAAGAGCTAATCTACAGCAGTTATTTTTTTGCTGATAAGTGTTGATATGTTTAGCTTCCCTAGCAGTTTGAGACTTTTTTTTCTTGATCTAGTGAGCATATCTGCACAATATAAATTTTGTATTTGTGCCCAAAGTGAAAAGGTCTATTATCTCCTTGTGTGACAACCTCAATCTAGCTATTGTAAATCTACAAATACCTAGAAGCATATGTTTGGGTCTAGTCCAAAGCTTACAGATACTGATTTTATGGGCACATGATCAAGCTCTCAGTGAGCTTAAATTTAATTTTATAAATAGTTTTATATCAGTCTTTTTGAGGGTAGCATTTATTCTGTACGTTTATATGTCAGGGCTGTTCCTCCTGACTTTGTACATTTAAAAGCAAACACATGTTGCAATTGTGACTTTCATTTCCTCTCCCCTCCACTTTCAGTTTACTTTGGGGATGAAAGCTGTGGCTGTCTTGTTCTAGAAGAAGCTGATGAACAGAGAAAATGTCTGAAGATACGTACATTCCAGAGGAGGAGGTGGACACTTAACGTTACACCAGCTGGCTCAGGCAGCTTGCTAATGACATAGATTGTACATACAGCAAAATGGAGTTTATATGGACCTAACTTATTTGCATTACAGTGTAATTAAATAAATACAGTTTGAATCAATATGTATTGTTTTAAAGTCTTTAAATATGTATAATTTAGTAATTCCTTTATTGCAGAAAGGATAACCATTTTGTTTTCTCTAAGTTTGGTGAAGTTTAACCTCCATATTTATCCTCATTATGATGATCTTTAAGGTAAAGATTCTCATTTATCTTCAGAATAAAGAGAAAACTGAGCTGTTTTAAATATTTTAATATTTGTCCAGTATTTCTTGCCTGAATGTTGGTAAGCCTCTGCAGCTGTTCAGTCTATGCAGACCTGTTCCCCTCCACCCTTCCTCTTTTGGATTTATTCATCTCCAGATACCTTAAGGATGTAGCCTGTATACATTTTTTTTGTAGCATAACCACATAGTTAAAAACCCAGTGTACTGTCTTCTGCCACCTTTACTTTATTTGTGAGTGTCAGAATTGAACAAAATCAGTTTGCTACTTTAGCAGTGTTGATTCAGACCTCTTCAGGTATAAAAAACAGTATTTAAATTTACCATAATTTGGGAAGGAGTAGGGAACAAAACTGCCTCAGATCTATTTACTTTCAAATAATGATGATGACAGGACCTGTTTAGGAATAGATGTGACAAACAGTGATTTACAGTGTTCCTACTTTAAGAGGAAGTTATTGATGTGCAAGGGAGGAAAGAAAACAAGTATGCTAAGCAAGGTATACACTTAATTTGTATTCCAGACTCTTATTCTTCAGAATATTGTTGTTTTGATTTCAGCCTGTGTTCTTCCTTTAACACTGAAATTTTATCGCTAACATGGCAACTGCTTGGTTTCTATTAAATAGAAGCTGCATTGTGTAATTACTCTCTCCTGTCCAGAGCTGTACGGGTCAGTTTGTAACTGTACAATGATAAAAAGAAATGATTTGCTCCCAATTCTCACTACAACAAAAACATTATGGAGTTCTGATTGTCTTTTTTTTAACCCCATAGACTTTCAGACAGCTTGTATATTAGTTAAACATTTAAGGAATAGGATATTCCTCAGTTTCTCGTCTATTAAAATTCTTAGTAAAATGTTACTATGTTTAAGGGAAAACATGAATGAAAAGAGAAAGAGAAATGAGCAAAGGGAAAAATTAAATTGAAAGACAAGAGCTAAAAAAGAGGAAGTGGAAAATATTCATAAAACCTACTGCAAAACAGCATGTTTCTTAAAATCCCATTAATCACGGTAATTAAATCAAATGTCTTGAAAATAAGTGAAATAGCTGATGATTATAGACCACTGGCTGGGAGACAGAGCAGGGAGTGAATGCAGAACATTCTTGTTATGACCCCACATGCTGTTGATATTGTAGCTTTTCTAGTGCCTTTTTTTCTAGTGGTAACTTAAGTTTAATGTCATCACTCATCTGTCTTAAGTTATGATCGGAGTGCGGTTTCTGATCTCTGTTCAGTGGTTTTAATCATAAACAGGAACCTCTTTTCCTCCACTGAATCTAGTGGAATGTCATAAGAGTACAGTACTACTCAGTGTACAGTAACTCAAGTTTCTTGAAGCCTAATTTTACATTTCACAAGGGTTATACAATGACCAAACTGCAACAGTGGGTGGACGGGCCCAGAAACCTGCGAAAGTATATTTCATATGTCCTATTTTATGTCAGATATTTGGGGATGTGGTTTGTGGGTCTTAACCACCACACGGTTTCACTGGCTGCCTTCCAAGAATAATAGTATTTGCCAAGAGGTAGATAAATAGGGAAGTGTTCTTGTCTCTTGTGTTAAAAGTACTTGTGTTAAAAGTATGGATATATCAAGCATGGGGCCAGCTTTTGTAACTTCAATGTGTTAAAAATTTCCCTTAAAAGTAGTTGTCGTTCAGTTCTTCATGACTTAAAATTTATCTGATAAATATTGCTTGTGCAATTCTTAATTTTAAAATTCCATTTTAAACACATAGGGTAGCAAATTTTTAGTAATTTGCTGCTATTGTGGAAATAAATGCAGTTACTGTTCTCTTAAAAAAAAAATCAAATATGGTTCAGAAAGTCATTAGCCTAGAACCTTTGGGTTTTTAAATTCAAGAAGAGTGTGCTTTATAGTACACGTAAGCCAAATAAAACTGAATGCCAATAGATAGTATAAAAATTTTTATGTTCACACAGCCAAGCGACGTTTCATTCAACACCGCGCTCTCTCTGTAGCTAAAAGACGAATGAAACACCTTAAATAAACACTCCTTTTTCCCTGGAAAAACAGGGCAAACATTAACCATAAATCTTGGTAACTAATTGTAAGTAGCAAAAACGGAGTCAGAGAAACTTTTTTTTCAAGGTTGAAGGAAGGAGTCTTTGGTTGCAACCTTCTGAATTTTCTTTGTCGTTATTGTCATTTTTACAAATTTCAGATGTGCTTCTAAGAATTGATTAGTGTCCTTTGAAATTACATGTTAAATGTATTTCTACAAAGAAATCTTAATTCTGTAAAAAAAAAAAACTTTGGGGAATATGGCCAGTTTTATCAAAACTTTTTTCTTTTTTTGTGGTGCTAGGGGGAAGGGGGCAGGTGTCTGGAGTAAAGTGAAGTCGCTCATATATGCATCAGAGCTGTGGAACGCTGCAGTCTATGGACTTGAAATTAGGTCTTGCTCTGGGTCTCTTAACGTCTAATTTTTGCTTTTGCTATTTCTTCCAATAGAACTTCAAAAAGTTTTATTTCACTGGAATGGGAGGCATTTAAAAAAGACCAAACAAACATGAGCTTCCCTGCTTGACTGTGTTGATCAAAAGATCTTTTTCAAGTGAAAGCATTTTTTCTAGCCAAATAGGGATTCTTTTCTGTAATGGAGCTTGTGACTCAGTCCTTTAAGACTACATATAAACTCTGAAGTTTATATAATAGATGAATGTTGCTTACTGAAAATCAAGCTGTGACTTCCACAGCTGGGCTCAAGTTTACACTTTGATTGCAGTATGAGATGTGTGAAAGAGTTAGTGATTATTTTATTTCACACGTGCTATGAAGAATAAACCCACTATGATATATCTTCATAAGGCCTTACCTGGACATAGGAACAGTTCAACTGCAGGTCTTTTCCACTCTGGGAAGCAGAGGTGGATTGTGCGTGCAGTTAACTTGCATGAGGTGAAATGTCCCAATTGGCGGGTTGTCACTAAAGCCTCTTGTACCTGATGCCAAACAGTTGTGTGAGGCTTGGGGAACGTTTCCACCTGGACCAGTCATAGGAGGACCAAAGGTTGCGGTGACTCCTAGCTTACTATGCTTGTTGCTAGAAGTAAAGGAACTTGCATCTTGAAGATGTTAAGTGAGGCTAATACCCCATTCTTGCTTCTCCATCTTGCAGTGACCTGCAATCCTATGTGCAGGGTCCTATTTCAGGTGGAAGACAACAGCTCTCCTCGTCCAAAGCGCCAGCATCCTAGTTGGCTTCATCCTATGAGAGTGACACCACACAATGGCTTGTCTGGCCTCCTAGGAGGGTATCTGTGAAGAAGGAATTGTCCTCATCCCAGGACCGAAGAGGTGGGCTGCAGTACATTTTCTCCTCTCTCCAGCCTGGCTGTGTGTGAATTACTAGCCAAGCATCAGGAGGTTGTGAGGGGCAAGGAGCTATATTGCGTCCTGCCTCGTGCATACCTCACTCTGTCATATGTATACATGGATACCTGCTTTTGTCTTCAAATAATTCATCAGCAAAAGTTACAGTAACCTAAAGCCTATAGCTTTTGAACATGTAAAAAACTTTGCAAACCCAAATGTTATTCATCATTTTGTCACAGCAGGTCCCTGTATTGGCATGTATAAAACCAGTGCATCTTGTCTTTTTACAGCTGTCTTATGAAATGGCTGTAGGTGACAAAGTGCTTCTTAAAATGTATTTTTATTGAAACAGAGAACTAATACATTGCTTTTTAACAGGAAAGATTCCTAAAACGGAAACTATATGCCCTGGATATTTTGGGGAATATCTCGTTACAGACTTGGAATTTAAGCTATGATGAGAGTCATGATAAATTTTGGAAATAAAGCTTATTACATCTTTTCCTACCACAGGAGTAAACACCACATCCTGGTTAAATGTCATATGACTAATTTAATTTTTACAAGTGACTAGTTAATTGCAATTTCTAAATACTTTCCATGATAGTGTGCAATATGGTAACTGCTTCTTGGTTAAGCTTGTGGGTTGCAAGCATTGTTTCTGGCTTATACTTATGTTAATTAGGAGGATTAGGAGATGGGTAAGGCAAAAGGGATGCTTATCTAGGGGAAAAGGAAGCTTACTCTTATATTTTTTCTGATTAAGAAATCAATTCTGAATTGTTATTAAAAATAACAAGTTCAAGTAAATGGTAGGCAATGAGCAGTCATCAGCCTGGAAAATGAGATAAACTGAAATTTCCATTTAAGTTCTAATTCTGTTTCCTAGGAGTCACTTTATTCTTGTAGAGACCCTCAAATGGTGCAACTAATAACTGTGCAACTGGAAAGCAGTCCCCTTTCTAGCAAGCCTGGAAGATTGCCTGTACATCTCCCTTAGCCCTAAGTGGTCTTTCTTCCAACAAACTCCTTTTGTGCAGCCCTATCCCAGGGCATCGAGCTCTCTGATTAGGAGGGGTATAGCTCTCACAATCTGGGGAACATCTTTGAACTTCATTGTATTTGTTAACACGTGCTAATGTGGGATCCACAGGTGTAGTCAAGATATCGTCCCTCTTCCCTCTGTGTCTCTTCAGAAGTTACTGCTAGTGGAAGAGGAGGCAAGGACTGTTGGCAAGTGAGCAGAGGACTGGACTTTGAGCTTTCCTTAGGTGATTTTACTTGTGTGTGTGTGTGTGTAACAGCTCTAAGTGATTCCCACGTAATAAAAATGTTAATGTAATTTGCTTATACATCATATTGTGCCTTTTTATATGGTGCGGAATATAGAACCTTACTTACTAATACATGCTTTGAAGAGATAAAGAAACAGTTAATCACACATATAGTTGCTCTTATTGAAACTAGTCAGAATTTGGCGTTGAGTACAGTAGAAACAAGGTAAAATTGTTTAAAGTGCTGTGTTGGGTAGACGTTGTGTGATATTGCACAATATAGCTAAGTCAATCTGATGTGCGTTACTGCTGAAAGAAGTGATCCTGCTCCCCTTGCTTTGCTCATGGTGCAAGTCTTCCCTCTCTTATGTCAGCTTGGTCTTACTAACCTCACTATCCGTTAGCC